CCTTCGTTTAGTCATCGATTCCTTTTTTTTTTTTTGGTTTGTTTTTATTTCTTCATTTTTTTTTTTCAAGCATTTGACATCATTCAAAAAAAAATTCAGAATCTATAAACTCACCCTTCATTTATGCTTTAACACAATCCTTTACTTACATTATCTTCCCACCCAGGTAAATGGAAAGTGTTGGTACCTGTGCAACAAAGTTTTGTTTTGTTTTTTAAATATGGAAACATTGTCATCTTGTGTACTTTCAGGCTTCTGTTGCCAAAAGCTTCATTGCCGTGTTCCACTTGTGGGTTCCGGATGTCCTCAATTTCTTCATTACCTTCTTTTCAATGATTCTTCTTTAATGGTTAGATTTTTTTTTTTTTTTTGTAGTCTTGCCTAGGTCTGGACGCTTGATAATTTAAGTTCTACTTATATATAGTATTGTATTTTTAGAGGTTTGCAAAATTTACATCAGACTCAAACTCTGATATTCAGAGAAAATGTAGGTCATTTATATTTGCCACTGGCTGAGAAGGCCGTATGTACTAGTTTGCTTGAAACAGCCCCTATTTACACAAGTTGCCCTGTCATCCTAACTGGTTTAGACTTTGTCCTAGATTGTTCAGTTTTCAGATAAAATATTATTAATAGTTGTATTCAAATAAGCTGAGCTGAGTAGCCAGACAGGACTTTGAATTTCTGCCATGGGCTCATCAAGGTGTGTGAGACACGTGTACAATGAACAGAATTCTCATTTTAACACATCGTTAAACCTGTAAGAAAACCAGGGACATTTCTCTCTTGGCCCCAAAACTTTAAAGTAACTAGCACCTTCCTTTCAAGGACAGCATGCAGGTCAGTCACTGATGAAAAGATAAGTACTTGGACAAGGGTGTAAAAAAAAATAAAATAAAATAAACCAAACCCATCGCCGTTGAATAGATTCTGACTCAAAGCAACCCTATAGGACAGAGGAGAACTGCTCCATAGCGTTTCCAGGGAATCTTTATAGAAGCAGACTGCCACATCTTTCTCCCATGGATGGGCAGATGAGTTCAAACTGCTGACCTTTTGGTAAGCAGCCAAGCACTTAACCACTGTGCCACCACTCCTCCCAGTTTCCCATGCGAGTAGGAAAAGTACTGGAAGCTGAAGCCCCTACCAGCAACTTAATGTACCAGGCCACAGCTCATAGGGTTAAAAGAGCACTGGGAATCCAAAAAAACCCAAAACCAAACCTGTTGCCTTCAAGTCAATTCCAACTCATGGCAACTTCATGTATTACAGAGTAGGACTGAGTTCCATAGGGTTTTCTTGGCTATAATATTTATGGAAGCAGATCACCAGGCCTTTCTTCCTGGGTGCTACTGGGTAGATTCCAACTGCCAACGTTTTGGTTAGTAGATGAGCACAAACCATTTGTACCACCTAGGGTCAGAGGGAAACACTAGGAAGTATAGATTAATGTGTTGACCCCACTGGTGGAAGAAGAATTTCTCAAGGAGTTAAAGTAATGATACCACTATCACATCCATTCATCAGATGCTCTCAACAGAAAACCGTTTATTTTCAATAATGGTTCATTTGTTTGTTTTATCCAATTCATGTAATCAAAGTAAACCTCTTAGATGTTCATTCTGTCCAAGGTAAACCTCTGATATTATTTTAAATGTTTCAGTAATTTAGTTAAGAAGTAAACATTTTTTTAAAATTATTTGTTTTGTGGTAATAATACAAATTTTGGTGGAGAATAACAGTGAGGTAAAAAAAAACAGTATTCTAACTAAATCAAGAAGAGTATTAATAAGAGATGTATTTGGGATTTGGGTGCATGGGCAATTTATAAATATACCCAAAAAAAGCAGCAATATTTTGTCAATGAAAATGGAAATTCTAGTTTTCAAAATTTATATATACATATGCACACATGTTTAGAATAAATGAAGTAGGATAATTTTTTTGACGAGACTGATGTTGAGAACAAGAAGAATTTCAGCATGACAGAATACATTTTCTCTCTTCACTTCTCTTCATCAGAGTTGGGAATAGTTCAGCCTTTGAAGAATTACTTTGTTAAGTCAGCCTATGTTGCCCACATTATAAAACGAGAGCATTTCTATAAATGAGTCATCCACATTTTAGTTGCATTGCTTTTAAGATCAGTTGAAAAACTTAAATTATTCAACAAATGAGGTGCCCCCCAAAAATCAGCTTTTGAAGCTTTTAGTAAATTGCAACAGTCAAAAGCTTATAAAAAGGAAAACACTGAAATTTATCCCCACAAACAAAGACAGGAACTGAACAAATTAAATAATGAGAGCTCGAATGTTTTACAAGATTTAATTTTCAAATTTTATATTTTCCCTTTGGAATATCTCGACTTTAGAGAAGAATCTTCTCATTGGAACTTCTGTTTTTAATTGGACGAATTTATATTCTCTACCAGAATGAAAAGAAGTTGATTTAAGAAGGCCTAAAATTTTGCAACATCTATATTTGGCGGGGAGTCCCTGGGTGTGAAAACTATTAACATTCCTGGCTTCTAACCAAGAGGCTAGACGTTTGAGTCCAGCCAGAGCTGCCTTGAATAAAAAGCCTGGTGACCTACTTCCAAAAAATCGGCCGTTGAAAACCCCATGGAGCACAGTTCTACTATGACACACATGGGTCCACCGTGAGTCAAAATTGACTCAACAGCAAGTAGTAAAAAATACGTATTTGGTGAAAAGAATCATAGATACAATTTATGTTTTTGTTTTCTTAACTTTTTGCCAGGGAAAGATACTCCGAATGGAGACAAAACAACAGTAACTGTGGAAATATTTGGACTCAAATACATTACATATATCCTCCATTTAGCAAACTTGCTTGGTGTTTACTATAGACAAAATATTGCTTCAGTTAAATATATTATGGTTTACAGAGCAGAGTCAATTAAGCTGTCAACAATTTTAACCATAAAAGAAAACTTGGAAGAAGATTATAGGTAAATTTATGAAAAAAATTAAAATAAACCCATGTTGAAAAAACATATTACATATATATCTACGTACGTATGTAAATACATACATTCTTAAAAAAAAAAAAACAGTGATGCAGTGTATTAAACACAGAGATGACTGAGAAGCAGATTCAAATACATAAATACATACCAAAAGTAATTATTCTGTTAATGTCGCATTTTAATGTTCAGATGTTCAATATAAAGAAGTTTTCTTATTTTGCTTTAATGCATAGAAATATATGCTGTCTTTATTTTTAGAAATAATTTCATTTTGAAGATAATTTTTGAATTGAACTCTTTTATTTGTTTATTTTTAACACTCCCTTTAACTTCCAAAAGTGCCCTGTGAATTATGTGATGGTTCAATTTTTAATGAATCCTTCTAAAATCACACCCATTGGTTAGCAGGGTCGGGGAGTAGATATTTGATTAAATAGCTAACCTGATTAAAACTTAGTCCAGTCGACCATTTAATGATCCTTTTAGACATGCATACTCTCTCTGGGGAAATGTTTGCAGTGCCTCGGATTGGTTCCCCTCCCACTGCTTCTCTCCCTAAGGTGAGATGTGTGTGCAGGTAACTTATGTGACTGGTAGACAAAGGATGAGTTTCAGGCTCCTCTGGTCTCCAAGGCAATGTCTGTGCCACCTGGTTGCTGGGCACCTCACAGGCTTCCGAAGTTCATATGTGCACCTGGTGAGCATGCAAAGCTTTAACAGGCCCACCTTTACCTCAGCTCCTCCAAAGGAGTTAAAAGGATAGAGCAGATCAGGGATTGGTGAGCGTGGCTAAAGCTAGAACAGATCAAGGCTTCAGTAGAATTTCTAGACTCATTTATCTCTCTCTAAATCACAGTTCACTAAAATGCCTTTTTAGCTGAGATTATGACACAATCAATGTTCTCATACTGTGTGCCTGAATACACATACACACACACACACATACACACACACACACATACACCCCTGAGACTACAGTGTTCCTATATGCCTATCCACCTGTTAATGTCGAGGTGCTATAATACAACCAAAGCTTGGTTTAAAGTAATTAATATTTTTAATAAACTGTAACAAAAAAACAGGTGAAACAAACTAACATTAGCCATGAACATTACCACTGGGAAAGAAAGATCGAGCCTTGATCAAAACAGAAAGAATATCACAAATAATAGTGAGCCTATAGAGACTGTGAGCCTTGACCCTGCTACCAGAAAGGAGACGAAAGCTTCTTTGCAAAAGGCAGACACCCATTTCTCAAGGGTGGCTTGAGGACTGAAGGCATGGAGATAGATTACATGACTTCTCAAAGTCTTTTCCAAGGATGCAGTAAATATTCTTAAGAAAAAAAAGTGATTCTGGCAACAAGAAGAAATATCTAGGGAGAAAGGGAATATCTGTAAGCCTAAGGATAAACACACTATTTCAAATGTAATGTTATTTAATGTTACTTCATTTTTCACTGAAACCACTAACAACTATGATTTTTCAGTCCCTAAAATGAGGGTTGCCATGAATCAAAATCAACTCAGCAACCAGTTCACATTTTTTTGTTGCTGTTGTTTTGGTTTAAAATCCTAAGCTCTTTGCATGTTTCTTAACATTTTCCCATTTTTTAGTCATTGACAATATTTTTAGTAGTCATTTATATTGAATAAAAGGTTCCTGGATAGTACAAGCTGTTTATAATCAGCTCCTAACCTCAAGGTTGGCTGTTTGATCTCACCCCGCAGCACCACGGAAGAAAGGCCTGGTGGTCTGCTCCTGTTATTGTTATAGCCAAGAAAACCCTTTGGAGCAGTTCTACTCTGTAACATGATGGCAGTGGGTTTGTTTTTTGGGTTTTGGTTGGTTTTTTTGTTGTTGTTGTTTAAATTGAATACATATTTTCCATTTTTTATGATAAACAGATATTTTGTTAATATTATTTTTAAGTATTCTATTTTAAACATGGTCTTGTGTGTATTTTTGTCATTTACACATTGATTCATATTGGGCTATGTTATATTTTCAGTTGATTTCATAGGTGGACTTGATACACACTCCTACTACCAAGATCATATTGAGTTAAAGCCTGTTAAACCTGTAAGTAAAGGTGTGATGATACGGAAGATATTAATCCTTCTAACTTAGCCAAAACTAACCAACCCTAAAATAATTTGGACCTGTTACTACTAACCATTCATTTAATATTCTGCTCATATTTTAAACACACCTTTCACATGTTATCCAACATCATCATTATTACCATTCATTCCAAAAAAGGATTTGACAGGTAGTTGGAGTTATATTTTGAAAATGATATTTTTATTTTATTTCTCTTATCAGTAGTTGATTGCCAAATTAGAAAAAAAAAAAAAAAAAAAACAGGATTATTTAGTCTTCAGAAGAAAAGACTGAATATGTGTCTTGGGAGCAGCATATTGGAGTGAAAGGGGTGAGAGATTCAGGTTAGAAGACAGGCTTTACGTGTGTGGTCTCAGGTGTCATCCTTGACCTCGCTGAGATTTGGTTCTGTCATCTATAAAATGGTTCCATAGATGTGGGGGGGGGGGATAATTTATGTTTAGTATATACAATGCGGCCTTTCACTGTGCCTAGAAAAGAATGGATGCTACATAATCAGTGATTATAATATTCAAATATTTGAGTAACAAGTTCAAGAACAAGTTTTCTATATCCTTAAAGGACCTTGAAGGAAGCCAACAAAAGAAAAAAAAGCACCTAAAATTAGACAGATTTCAGTTGAGAAAGAACTGAAAAAAATAAGAAAGAAATCTTGGTCATTTGACTGACAAAATACTAAAAAGCAGGGAAACATATAGTGACTCCATTCATTGAAAACTCTAAGGAGCAAATAGACTTCTGTATAAAATAATAACAGCTATCAAGTGCTGAGCACTTTACATATATTATCACACTTAATTCTCATAAAAATACTTTAAATTTCTAATTAATATCCCTACCTTATAAATAAGAAAAGTGAGGCTTGTAGAGTTTAAGGCAACTTTCCCAAAGTCCCACTATTAGTAAGTGGTGGCCCTGGGATCTTTCCTGGATGGTAAATGATCACCTTGCCTGATATTGTGAACTTCCTCACAGTAACCCTATTCTTTCAGCCCAGTGCTCTGTAATTACATGGTAATAAACTATTTAAAACAGCTCTAAATAATTTGTTTGAGTCACTGGTATCATAAACATGTCTGAGAGGCTCCCTCTGCTGCCTCTTTGCCATGAGGGATCCTGCCCAAATCTGCAACTGCCATCCAGCCTCTTTGGGGATGGAAACCCTAAGAAGTCTGTACTGGCTCCTCTGCCCCTCCAGGAAGGACGACATAGTGACCGAGAGGAGCTGAGAGTACACCCAGACGCTCAAGCTCTTTTGAATCTGGAGAGAATGACGAAATGAGTGAAATTCATTAGGAACATATGCAAGGAAGAAAAAATTATTAATTGGAGAAAAATTGAATTAATTTTATTCTGGCAGAATGATCTAAAGGACACACGGCTCACAAGCTGTAAAATCAGCACTGTGCCTGTCACATGACAAATGGTTAAATACATTTTGGTTTCTTAAAGCAAATCTAATTTGGAGGAATATTCACCGTCTCCCACACTCCAGGACCAGTCACCACCTTATTATTCATGCTTCAGTGCTTGAGGAATGATGTGCTTGGAAAGCTGACATGGATTTGGGGAACTTGGAAGGAATTGTAATGATAATAAAGATGATCAGTTCATTGGAAGTGAGAACAGAGCTGAAACAATGCCTAATGGTGACTTGGAGAGTCTTTATATATTTGTTATGTGGTCATAGGATGATGAAAGATTTATTTCATTGCCACTGTGAAAAAAATAACTCAGCAGAGAAATTGCAATATGAAAAACGTTGGCCAGATATAAGAAAGAGCTTTCTATTAGGAAAGGTTGTTAAAAACTGCAATTGATTAATGTTGATAATAGAATCTCCTTTCTTGAATGACTTTACAGAATGAACACATGCAAATCTATGTATTTCAATAGGTTCTTCTGTGGCATGGCCCAGAGACAGATGGCTTCAATTTGTGGTCTCTAAAGTCTCTTCTAGCTCTGTGAATCAAGAACACAAAAAACATCCTCTTAAGATCACCTAAAAAGCTTTGCTCAACTCTGCTATCTTCTCAAAGGTTTCACTCAACAACCATTCACTACTAAACTCTCCTGTTTTGCTGAATGTAGCATAAACCACAGACTGCAAGAAGCAATAGACCAAGTTTCTGCTTTAACAGATTACGCATGTTATTATGTCAGATAACTATGGAATGCCTTTCAGCCATGAAGGAAGCAGGAGTCTGAAAGATCAAACTAAACGTGAATTAAAATCATTGTGTACGCTATTACAAGAACGCAAGAAAAGTTTCAAACACAGAAGAAAACATTTTGATGGTTACGAGGGTGGGGAGGGAGGGAGAGGGGAATTCACAAACTAGATAGCAGACAAGAATTATCTTAGCTGAAGGGAAGGACAACACACAATACAGGGGAAGTCAGCACCACTGGACTAAACCAAAAGCTAAGATGTTTCCTGAACACAACCAAACACTTGGAGAGACAAAGTAGCAGGGGTAGGGGTCTGGGGACCATGGTTTCGGGAGACATCTAGGTCAATTGGCATAACAAAGTTTATTAAGAACATGTTCTGCATACCACTTTGGTGAGTGGAGTCTGGGGTCTTAAACGCTTGTGAGCAGCCGTCTAAGATGCATCCATTGGTCCCAACCCACTTAGAACAAAGGAGAATGAAGAACACCAAAGACACAAGGAAAATATTCGCCCAAGAGACGGAAAGGGTCACATAAACAAGACTCCATCAGCCTGAGACCAGAACTAGATGGTGTCCAGCTACCACCAATGACCGCCCTGACAGGGAACACAACAGAGAGCCCCTGACGGAGCAGGAGAAAAGTGGGGTACAGAAATCAAAGTAATATAAAATGACCAGACTTAACAGTCTGACTGAAACTAGAGGAACCTCAGAAGACATGGCCCCAGACTCTCTGTTAACCCAGAACTAAAACCATTCCCGAAGCCAACTCTTCAAAGATTAGGCTGGACAGTAAGACATAAAACGATACTCATGAAGAGTGTCTTAGTTCAAGTAGATACACGAGACCAAATGGGCAGCTCCTCTCTGGTAGCAAGATGAGAAGGCAAAAAGGGAGAGGAGCTGGTTGAATGGACACAGGAAATCCGAGGTGGAAAGGGGGAGTGTGCTGTCATGTTATAGGGATAGCAACTAGGGTCACATAACAACGTGTGTATAAATTTTTGTATGAGAAACTAACTCGAGCTGTAAACTTTCACCTAAAGCACAATTTAAAAAAAAAAAAATCATTGTGTACTAAGCAGTCTAAGAGGTCAGTATATGTGCTCTCACCAGTATGCAAACCATGCGGCACTTTTCCAGTAGGCATCAGCCGTTCTTCTAGATTTCTTTAATAAGATATTTATATTGAATTCCATTTTTCTCACCTCAGTGATATCATAACACCACCCAGCAGCAGCTATGAGAAAAAGTCAATCTTTTGTACTAAATCATTAGAGAGGGGAATGAATGCTGATTTTAAGCTTTCATTAAGTCTCTTTAATCTCTATGGAGTACAAAGCCAGGTTTTATGAGGAAGCAAATTTATTAAGGGAGTCCAGAGAATCCTTAGCATATTCCCAAGTATATGTTTGTGTGGAGGTAGCTTTCTACTCTAGACAGGTAGTTAGAAGCAAACAGTCCAATTACAGGAAATGATGCAGAGTGGTACCAGAAAAACCAACCAATCAAGAGTCAACTCCGACTCATGGTGACCCAATTTGTGTCAAAGTAGAACAGCACTCCACAGGGTTTTCAATGGCTGATTGTTCAGAAATAGATTGCCAGGCCTTTCTTCTGAGGTGCCTCTGGATGGGCTCAGTTAGCAGTTGAGTACGTTAACCGTTTGCACTACTCAGGGATTCTGCAGAATAATACAGGAAGCACTACATCTCATGTTTTGATTGTGTTATTGCTTGGAACCAGAAAAATATAACTTTCAAGTGCCCACAGTCAAATGTCGTATAAATGTGTATAAGTAAACACACACACACACACACACACACACCCCCCAGAAGTGATACAGAGAGACATAAAATGACCTTATCCTGGTTTTTTTTGTACTTGATTAGCTTACACACATTCGTATTTATCTAGGTGGAGGTTGCAGAACTATGTAAAATTCTGCATTTTGTCTGTCCTCTGTGGACATTTGTAGTAAGTGTAAGAGACACAGCCCTATCAGAAGACACACCTTAAAAGAGTGCTAAGTACATTTGATGAGGAAAAAACAGTCTCTTCAATAAATGGTGTTGGGGAAATTAAGTACCCACATGAAGAAAAATGAAACAAGATTCATGCTTCACACCATATACAAAACAAATCAAAATGGACTAAGGACCAAAGTGTGAAAACTAAAACCATAAAATGCTTAGAAGAAAATGCAGCGCCAAGGCTATGGGGCCTAGATTTTAACAGTGGATTATCTAATACAATAACAAAAGCCTGAATGGTAAAAGACAAAGTAAATAAATGGGATCTTATAAAAATTAAAAACTTTGGTCATCAAAAGACTTTACAAAAGAAAGTGAAAAGACAAACAACCGAGTGAGAGACTATCTTTAGAAACCACGTATCTGATAAGAATCTAATAATCAAAATATATATACAACTTCAACAAATTAGCAACAAAAAGACAAATAACCCAACCAAAAAAATGGGCAAAGAATTGAATAAATATTTCACCAAAAAGGACATTCAAATGGCCACCAAACTCATGAAAAGATGCTCAATATCATTACCCATCAGAGAGATACAAATCAAAAGCACAATGAAATACCATTTCACTCCCACTAGGATAGTTAATATTAAAAAAACAGAAAATAACAAATGTTGGCAGAGATGTGAGGAAATTGGAACCCTTTTCCATTACTGGTGGAGATGCAAAATGGTACAGCTGTTGTGGAAAACAGTGTGGCAGTTTCTCAAAAAACTAAAAATAGAACTACCACTGCTAGGAATG